AAAAAAAAAAAAAAAAATCCATAATATTCTGTTGATTTGTTTCAGCTTTCTAGGAGCTAAATATATCTTTTATTAACGTACTTGCACAATTTTATACTGTACCTGATTCTAATTGATTAGGAATAATTGGTTATACAGAAAGTAATTGGGTTAATGGGATGAAGTAGCCTTGTGTCTGAAGACTTCAAAACAGCTAGGGAGCCGGTTGTGTGGCGCATGCCTGTAATCCTAGTACTTGGGAAGCTGAGGCACAAGGATTGCCACGAGTTTGAGGTCTGCATGGGCTACATAGTGAGCTCAAGCATAACATGAACTACAGAGCAGATCCTGTCTAAAAATAAACAAACAAAAAACAGCTAGGGAGAAAAAGTCTGAAGGGCCTTATTCTTACCTTCTCCCTTCTTATTAGAAGAAAGATTCGAAAAGCCAGAAAACAAGAAGTGAATTTCCTAAAAATCTCATTTGATAAAACCTACCATTGCCAGTCCTTGGCAGGACATGTGATACCATCCAGACCTCTTACAAGGTCTTGGCCCTACAGGGGCCTTTCTCTTTCCCATCTCAGAAACAGCCATGACCAGGAAGATCTTCACGAACACCAGGGAGAGGTGGAGGCAGCAGAATGTCAACAGTGCCTTTGCCAAGTTGAGGAAGCTCATCCCCACTCACCCTCCAGACAAAAAGCTAAGCAAGAATGAAACACTTCGCCTGGCAATGAGGTACATCAACTTCTTGGTCAAGATCTTGGGGGAGCAAACCTTGCAGCAAACGGGAGTGGCTGCTCAGGGAGGAAACATTCTGGGGCTCTTCCCCCAAGGACCTCACCTGCCAGGCCTGGAGGGTGGCGTGGCGCTCAGTGACTACGGGGTTTCTTCACCTGGCCCAAGCCAGCAGCTTCCGTAGAGTGGCTCTGGCAGCACCCCCAACCCCAGCACTTGTTCAGAAGTCACTGGCTGAAGACAGCCTTTGCATGTTCCACAGTCAACTTGATGAATAGCTTGTGAGGCACAGATTTGGGCTTCATGGGAGATGGTTCAGGGACAGCTGCAGGAGCTGAAAAGAGCCTATTAAGAGCGTCGCCCTGGGTCCATCCACGGCTGAGACTTCAGACAGAACATTCTGCTCCTCCTATTTTATAAATCCAGGTTCTGCATAAGACATTTGCAAAAAAAAAAAATCATAGGTTCATAAACTTACTGTTTTAATCATTGTTTTCAGTCATAAGAAAGGAGTTTTCTCATTATGGCTCTCAGGTGAATAAGCAGAGTATGTTTTTCTCAGAACATATTTAAAAATTTGTTTTGAAAAATGAGTCTATTTGATCAAAGGCAAACAAAATAAATCTTAAGATTTATGAGTGAAAAGACAGCCCCACAGAAACCAACCTGAAAGATGTGTGGGAAAATCGGTGGAGAAAGTCCCTCTGAGGAATGGGATTACATTCTTCCTCCTATGGAAATGTGAGGTGTTTACTTGCAGGGAGCCATTTATACACATTAACTCTAAAGCCAAATAGTACATTGCATTTGTGAAAGGAAAAGACTTGACAATTTATCAGAGTTCATAGTTTTCTTATAGAAAAATTAGCTAAAATAAGTCAGCAGTCACCTTAGTTTCTTTTTAACTTTTAACTCAGCCTGAGTTCCAATGAGTTAAGACCTGCAGAAGTCAATTTTAACTATACAAAATTCAAACATTACCATTTAATGGTTATTTAATAACCCAGTTTAAACAAAAAAAAATTAGTATACACAATAGAAATGTAATACCAGACTCTAGTGAACTAAAGAATTTGGAATTTGCCTCTCTCTTGTAGAGCATTAGTTTAATCTTATGCTGGAATTATAACCCAGTAAGTCATTGAAACAGCATGTACCCTTGCTGCACACAGTGTCACACACCATCCTGATCTTGATAAATCTCTTAATTGAGCCCAGAATACAAATAATACCATTTAATTATCTCGAGGACATTCTATTTCCCCAAAGTTCTTGAGGGTACATTGGTTTTAAAATCTTCTGAAGCCCAAGTGGGCTATCTGTGGATTTGCGGTTAGGAATTTCCACTGCATGCATAATAGAGGAATTTAAATTTCCTTCTACTTTAGAAAGAAGGTGTTTTATTTATGAATGAGCCTTCCTGGTTTGGTGATGAGACAAAAACTGGGTGAGTCTTTCATAATCTCACTCCCACTGATAGCAAGGTTATCAGGGCATTCGAGTCTAAATAGCCTCTGGACTTACAACACAGGGCTTTCTTCTGGGTCCCTTATTTAACCTGCATTTGGTGAACTTCCCCATGGACCTCATATAACTCAGGGAAACTCATAAACACAGAGAACAGGAATTTTCCCCTGAATATGCATGTCTTTCTCAACAGTTTGAGTGGATTCAAGCTTGTCCTCAAACTATCAGGTGGTGAGGCATTTTACAGTTTCGATGACAGTTATCAGTTAAGTATTATCTACTCTCATCTGGCATTAAACTAAATTAACACTTTTTTTGAAGGGTGGTACCAGGGATTGAACTCGGGTCCTTGCGCTTGCAAGGCAGGCCACCGAACCATTGAGCTAAATCCCTGGCTAAAATAACACTTTTGACAGTATTTTTATATTAGCTTTATTTTAACATGTTGCCAAGAAAAACACAAAGCACCTGTGTACCCAAATACAGCGTTTTCTGCTCTACCCAGAATAAGTTCATGTTCCGGTCTGGATACACAAAGAAGACCTTTCCACAGATGTGTAATGGAGGGATCCTGAAAAGATGAGGAGATTGTGCTGTCATTAACTTTATGAAGATGATAATTAAAGAAACTTTGCAGGAAATTCCTTAATAAGTGAATAAACCTATACATTATTACTCTTTGTAATTCACCTCTTAAAGTATGTACTTTGTCACCTTGGATTTTTATATTTCAAACTGTAGTACAGTGTTAGAAATAATTATAATCACAAGTGGACCAAAACCTTAGTAAGGTATCTAGGAGATTGGAAACTAATTCAAAAAGCACTCTAGCATACTCTTTGATGTCTATACTTAACACTTTATAATTGCAGTAATAAGAATTTATGGTTTAGCCAGGCATGGTGGTGCATGCCTGTAACCCTAGCACTTGGACTTTGATCACTGTGAGTTTGAGGTCAACCTGGGCTACAAAAGTTCAAGACCAGCCTTGACTACATAGCAAAACTTTGCCTCAAAAACAAAAAACAAAAAGGCATTTATAGTTCAGCCACCTGCCTGTAATTTCAGCCATTCCCCAGGCTGGTGCAGAGAATCACAAGTTTTGGTCAGTTTGAACAACATAGTAAATTCAAGGTCAGTTTGGACTGTATAGTGAGACTCTTTGTCTCAAACAAAAAGCAAATGGGCTATCTGTGGATTTGCGGTTAGGCTGAGGTGGTAGTTCAGTGGGGGAGCCCTTGCCTACTACGTGTGAGGCCCAGCTGAGTTCGATCCTCAGTACTGCAAACAACAACAAAATTATAGTTTATCACTGATGGCACATCTATTTATGGGCCATCTGAGCCCAAAAGAAAATTCTAGACATAGTTTTAAATCACCTAGCCTATGCTTCTCTGTTACTTGAACAAAAGTTAGGAATTTGGTGTGCTATGGGCACCACTGGAAACTTCCAGGAACCAGGTATAAATAGGTCCACTGATCAGTTTGATTAGTTTCACTTTCTCATTTTACAGAGGAAAAAGCAGGTCCTGCAGGTTTTGAAGTTATTTTCCAAAGGTGACAAAGGCAGTCATTGGAAACTCAGAACACAGAGCCATGTCTCCTGCCTTGCATCCTGCCTTGCCACAACCCTGTTCAGCCATCAAAGGATTAAAAAGTGAACAGATGCCTTATCATTATGGTCACCTCCTTTCCAAAGTGTTCAGTAATCTTCTTATTGAAATAGAATTATGGTGCTTTGTAGAATGTGATTAGTATGTATCAACCAAAGATTTTATTTGCTGATGTAATGAGTTTTTAGCCATTACAATTTGCTATTTAACTGTTAACTTATTGCAAATAAATTATTTAATAAAAGGAATCATTCTTTTCATATGATGTCATAAATTTACTAAGCATATCAACCCTTTTCTATCATTATTCTGACTCTGACACTCTGAATTCCCACTGTCTTTAGGGAAAAAAAAAGATGTCTTTCCTCCTACCCCAACCCACTGCACTTACCTTTCCCACGGTTTCCTAATTGTCCTAATTTCCAAATCATAGCTGTAGTCAGATCATTTCCCTGCTACCAAGCCTTCGGACAAACACCATTCCCCGGCAAACCAGGCCTTCTGCAGCCTGGCCCTGATGTCCTCTTCCCTTCCCTTCCACAATCTCCACGTGTGTTGCACACGCCGATGAAAGTGCTTCCCTTGCTGATCCCAAAACCTGCTACTATTTTCACTTCTGACTTGACTTTGGTGATTTCAAATGCTTGGATGAATGTTCCCATTTTCATTGGTTCTCCTTATCCTTCCAGCTGTGTGCTAAATTCCATTTGCTAAAGTCCTTTATGACTTATCTTAAACAATGTCTCTTCCATAAGTACTCTTAGATTTCTACTCTTTGCGTTATTCTCTATCTCCTGGAATTTCCTTATCTAACTTACAACCTCATTTCTTCTACCTTGTACTGTAGATACCATTGTATATTCTGTTTCCCCTAAAAAGCTAAAATCAATTTAAGAACAGTGACAGTTTCTTTCATTTTTTTTTCTTTTCTTTCTTTTGCAATGTTGGGAATTGAACCCAGGGCCTCTGCACTGAGCTTTAATCCCCAGATTTAATTTTTTTAAAAAGGGTCTCATTAAATTTCTAAGCAGCTTGAACTTGCAATCCTCCTGCCCTTGCTCACCAGTGTTGGGATTATAGCCACCAGGCTTGGTGACAGTGACAGATTCTAACATGTAATTTTCATCACAGCCCTGCAAATGGCCCCCATTTTCAAAATGTGAAGCTCTACCATGATTGGCTTCTTTTTAAAATGATGTTAAAATGAAGTTTGAACTGGGAGAGCTGTCCAGAGAAACCCAGTGTCTAATGCTCTTCTTAAAAGCTTTTTTCTTGGGCTGGAGATTTGGCTCAGTGGTTCCGATGCCTGCCTCAAAAGCACAAGGACCCGAGTTCGATCCCCGGTACCAAAAAAAAAAAAAGCTTGTTTCTCATAATTCCTATTCAAGGATACCCTTGAAGCACCTGTCTTATGAAATTTCATCACCTAAAAATGGTTTGAGATGGCCAAACTGTATACAAGTTAGGCATGACTGGCTTTGTCCTTAAAGAGGCAAAAGCTGAAGGGATTCTGGAGAAAGGACGGCTTAACTGCTGACCCAGGGGCCAAAGGTCAGTCAAAAGTCACATCCTTAGATAAAAGGTCAGGGGCATGGAGGGGATCTGACAGTCCAGGGGAAAATGAGGGATTTAAAGCAGGTGTTAGAAAGGAATACTGAAGAATGGATGTTGCTGAGGATTATAGGAGGGTTTGGGCAAGGTCTCCTGAACCACATGTCCACTCTGTGTGCCCCAAAGCTAACCAGAAACAGAGAGATGCTTCGTCTTATTTTCTCTTTCTTGCTAATGGCCTATCACAAAGAAATTTTGAAGAGCACTAGATTTTTATATATGCCTTAGTTAGGTTTGTAATCTATCAAGTAGTATTTGTTCTAAGAATTTAATTCCCAGAGCTTAGCAATTCCCTGGGAGACTAATGAAAGATACTGTTGAATTGTCTTTGCTGGGTAACTATAAAAATGTAGTATGATGTAGTAAATATGTTCATATTGTAAGACTTAAGTCTCACTTTTACTCCTGGAGTATGAACAGCCAAGAGGCTTCCATGATGCTGGGCTCAGAAGCTCAGCGAGGCTCCAGGAGCTAGTCGCACAGCGAGAGTCACCCAGGAAGGAACACACCAGGCAAGTTGGCAAATAGAACTTTATTAGTCTGGCCAGACGACACTCCCCAAGCCAAGTAGCTCAGAGAGGCGGCTAGCTCAGAAACAGAGGCCATTTTATATAGGGCTGAAGGGGGGTTTACACTTAAAACTTACAGGAAGAGGACAAAGGCAAAGAGTCAGTTGATCTGAGCTAGTGGTCGTCACGTACTAATGATCAGCACAGTGATTATCCATTGTTCCATTTACAACCTAGATCATCATAAAGTTCAGAACATTCAGACTACAGGCATGCAAGGAGTGGCGTGACCTGCGTTGGGTCTCTGTGTTCACTACAGTTTCCACCTAGTTTCCCAGTTACTCCAAAACAGCCACCTAACAATTCACAATTAATCATTAGTTATCCTATAAGGGATGGGGGGGAGCGACAGTCTCTAGGTCGTTTGCTGGTCAACATGGAGTCGCTCTGGTTCAGTCAGGCTTCTACAATATTCTTGAGACTATGTAATTAGCCTTCTAGAAACAGCATAATAAAATATTCAGAATTATGGTTAAAGAATTATGCACATGACCCAGGTATTGCGGCATGTGCCTGCAGTCACAGCTACTCGGAGGGCTGAGACAGGACAATCACTTGAGCCTAGGAGTTCAAGGCCAGCCTGGCCACAGTGCAAGATCTTATCTCTTGAGGAGGAGGGACTATACACATAAAATAATTATGTACATGAATTTCATAATATTTTACAATATACATAAAATAATAGTAAGAGTAAAGGTGACTAAGTGTTTACTATCTGCCAAGAACTTCTAATATGTAGCTCATCTAATCTTCATAGCAACACTACATGGATATGTTATATTACTATTGCTCCCATTTCACAGATGAGGAAACTGAAGGGTTGAAGGGTATCTAACTTGTCCATGTTTCCACTGCAGAGCTAGAATCTGGCTTGCAGTTGTTTTTACTTAAAATCACTGCATTATATAGAATCAAGCCAGAGTGGCTTTTCACAGAATGTTTATTTGCATCAGGGTTTTTAATTCTTTGCAACTTTAATACCACCTCATGGACCAGGTACACTACGAAGGAACACTCTTGGGAAAACAAAGCCCCTTGTTCAGAAGCACCAGGCTGGGGTTAGTACCAGTGAGACTCGGTGAGTGAACTGTCTACTGAATGTGAACACTGTGGGTGCAGCTGGGTAGATCTGTGGTCTGAACTTGGCGGGGTGCAGCCTGAGAGTTCTGCATTTTTTCATCACTGCCATCAACCACACCTTGCTCAATCTGTTCACACTGGTATGCAGGCCAATTTAGGCCAATTGCAAAGCCTGTCTCAGCTCTTGTCCGGCTTGACCCCCACCCTGGCTCCTCCCTACTGTCCTTCTGGTTTTAGCTTCTCTGGAGGTGGGAAGGAGGGAGGGTATAAAGAAAAGAACAGTGTTCCCAGCTAGGTATGGGATTGCATTCTCATTCTCTTTGTATATTTGAGAGTTTTTGTAGAATTAAAACCTCTTAGATTCAGCAAGACTACCACGCAGAGGGTCTCAGTGCCACTGAGCATCTGGTGGAAGAGGAGTACTATGCTTAGACGGCTTGGATCTGCTCCTAGACCCGGGTGACTTCAGTGTGTTTATTTTTTTTAATCTCTTGATAAATAAATCAAGATTTAATTTATCATTGTGGTGTATGTGCCTGTGTGTCCGTCGACATACTTACTGTATGTACATACTTACTGTATGTCCACGCTGCATGTTCTCTTTCCATCTATGTAGAGTGCATCTGTGAGGACACAGTTGCACCAGGCACTGGCTTGTGTAGGCTCTCCCCGCTCCACTGGGCGCGGCATGAATTCTCAATTTGGAAAGAGGCCCCCTTGAGCAACACAGTGAGCCTTTGTCTCAAAAACATAACAAAAAGCAAAGAAGCCTCTACTTTTTGTATTTCAGAAGTGATATTGTTTGAAATATTGAGATAATAAAGGAAAATGATATACCCAGAAAATATGGATCAGAAAGTTATTTTCCAAGGCTGTTAAAGAGAACAAAGGAGAGCAAAAGTAGGATTAAAAAGTAAATTTTTTTCTTTTAAAAATATTTTTGATTAGATTATTCACCTATGAGGTCTAAGAATCAAAGTTCTACTGGGGCCAGGGTAAAGCTCAATGGTAGAGTGCATTCTCCATGCATGAGGTCCTGGGTTTGATCCCCAGAGCAAAAAAAGAAAAGAACAGGGG